TCATAATTTTAAAGTGAAAAATTAAAATAAAAAATTCTTGAGAATATTTTCAAAATAAAAAATAAAATAAAAAATGGCTTTTCGAAAAATCTATTCAACATCAAAAGTGATATTCAACTCAATTCAGTATCCACAACAAGTGCGTAGTTTGTCATTGTCAGTTGTCAGATTTGAACAAGGCAAAGCAGTTGCAACGAAAGTTGATGTAAAGCCTGAGTGGGAAAGAGCTTTAAGTGAAGCTGAAAAAATTATTGGTCAGCAAACTTCGTTTATTAGTTTGAGATATTTAATGAATGATGAAGTCACGAATTGGGGCGAACACATAAGACGACTTGAAGGAAGCAATCATCCGATGTATGAAACTGCAAAGTGAGTCATAAGGGAAATCTTGAAATTTCTACAATTTTTTCTTTCATTTCACCTTCAAATTTCTGCATTTTCTTGCACGCGTTAAGATCTCGTGCAGATGGTGATGCCATAAAAGAATAAAAAGTTTAGAAATAAGAAAAACGAGAAATTTGCATAACGATGTTCTTGATTTTTTTGATTATTTTAATAAGAAACAAGTTCTTAGCTTTTTCGTTGATGTATCTTCTTTACAAAAGAAGTTTGGTTTCCAAGGAGTTTACGTCAGATTGAATTAATTAAAAACTTATTTTATCATTAAGACGAAGAAAATTGCATGAAAGAATCTTCACAAACAAATTCTTCTTTTTGGAATAAATTTTCTAAAGATGTTCTTTAAACCAGTTTTTAATTTATTATCATAAAATTTTAATTCTGTGGGTTTTCGTTTGATCAATTTCGATGTTATATCCAGTTTTCGTTTACACAAGTTTTCTACTTTGCAGGCTAATTTTATTAGGCTTTGTTAATTTCCTTGACAAAGCTAAAAAATGAAAGTTTTAATTTAAATCCCAATAAATAAACATAAATTCAAAAAAGAAAAAATGTTTCAAAAGTAATCCAAATATTCAACAAACATATTTCACTTAGATTACTCTTTCAACAAGGACATGCCAATAACATTAACAAAACTTGGGGATTAGTTGTTTTACTCGTATCTAAAATGGCTGGGTTTGCAACACCACCACCAGCTGCGGACATTGACAGTAAATCGGGATTGTTGAAGAGTCAAAAGATTCTTGCGGAAGCTGTTGAAACTACATGTACAGCTAATGACATTCACCGTGAAGGAATTCTTAATATGCAGCATTTACAATATGCTGGAATTAGTAAGATTCACAAAATAGAATAAATTACCTTTTTTATTTACTATTTAAATTCTCCTTTTTAATATTTATATTTAGATTTGCCACCTGACAGCGACTTGATATTTGGAAATAAGGTAAAAAATCTTGATTCGCGAGTTATCGATATCTAAATGTTTAGCATCTTTTTCTTAATGGACTAGATGGCCATTCTCGGAGGTGACATCTTATTCGGACATGCTGGTATGCAGTTTGGAAAACTAAAGTAAATAATTAGCAATATCTTGTCCGTTACTTGATTGTTAGATACATAGGATTTCCTTAATAATTATAAATATTCAACTTAAATTAGCATATCTTGAAATGTTTCGTATGTTGGGTGAAAGAGATAATTCTCAATGTCAACAAAATCTTCTTTTTTTTTATTTTTAGAAATCATAAAGCCAACATTTTGCTGTGTACGGCTGGAAGAGATGTTGCAGATTCACATTTCATCGGTGATCGAGATATTCAAAATAATCCATTGCCGTCAGATCCAGTGAAGAAACTTGAAGAACAAAAGAACAATCCTGTGGGATTTGATGAGATTCCAACTGATCAAATTGATAATTTGAAGCCATTCAGTCTACGTGATATAATGGGAACTGCAGAGAATGAATGGAAGCTTCGAAATACTCTGACAACAGGTTCATTGCTCGGTAAAAGCTGCCAAGGAGCTTTAATGCTTGCAAATCACCCTGAAGAGCTTCAAAAGGAAGCTTATTTCTTCGGAAAGCATTTGTTTTTGGGTTATCAAGCAAGTAAGGAATTTGATATGTTTATGACAGAAGAACTTCCACCATCAGGTCGTTTTAACTTGGTGAGTGCACCAGTTTTGTTCCATCTTGAAGCCGATCATTCCTTATACAATGAGATTAAAAAAGGTTCAGAGTCAATTGATAACATTGACTACGAAAAAGTTCATGAAATTGTGAGAAATGGTCCGGGACTTGACAAAACAAAAGAACTTATGAATAAGAACAATTTAATCGCGACCACTTTACTTTACAAATTTCCCGAATCTGATGCCAGAAGGGCACTTGAAAATATTGTTTTAGCTTCAGAACATTAAAATTAATAAAACTTTCTTATATTTTCCTTTTCATATTGTCTGTGCTTCGATTGATTTCATTTCAAACTTAATCTCAAAAAATCCGAGGTAGCTTTTTTATTAATCAAAAGCTTTCCAAAATTCTTTAAAACTTCAAAGCTTTTATTTTATATTCCTTAAGAAAAAGATTGTCTTGAAAACTTTTTATACATAAATCCTTAGATTAATTAATATAATAATTAAAAGACACTATAATTAAATGTAACGAAAAAACATCCAATCATTTATATTTTGGATTATTTACAACTTTAATAAAAGATAAATTTTTTGAATAATGAAAGTAAAATTTCACTTTTTCTTCAAAAAAGCTTTAAATTTTGAAGCTTTAATAATTTAAGATATGAATATATAAAAAAACCCATAAAGTGTTACAATGAACCCAACACGTGTAAACATTTTCCGTGAATCATCTGTTGATGATCAATGATGATTTTTTCGATGTATTGTGGTCTGAAGTTTTTCTAAACAAGTTCATAGCAACACGAGACTCTCGGACTTTTTCATAATTACTTTTTTTTGGCAAAAACTCGAAAAATAACTTCCTTGAAGTATTCGAAAACAGGTTCGTTTAGTTTTTATGTGTTTACCATCAACACCAACATTATTGTCTATTCCATATTTTTTATACTGATGTCTCATCATATACGAAGAAGTTTACTTTCAATTTTTTTTTTCGTCTTGAGCTCACAAGACCGACACCACAACAGTGTATCTCTATCCATTACTCTGTGCAGTTGTGACTAGAAATCGCTCCTGAGTTGGCGCGAGTAAATTTTGTGTGCTGACATTCAGTGAAGTGAACACAATAGTCAATAATTGCTATTGCTTGCGAATAAAAAGTAAAAGAAAAATCAAAAATATAAATTTTTGCAAAAAAAAAGAAATTTAAAGAAAAAAATTCGTGAAGAAAGAAAGAAAGTGATAACAAGAGAAATGTCATTAAGTCGCTTGAACCCAACAAAAAAGGTGATTGCAAGCCTAATTGCTCGATCTTCGTATAATCGAATGAAATTCGCGCGACATATTACAACAGCAACGCATTTGCAAGATAAAATTGTCATGAAGACCGAAACAAAAAACGAATGGAATCGAGCACTCAGCGAGGCTGAGAAGATTGTTGGTTATCAAACATCCTACTTAAGCTTGCGATATTTGTTAAGTGATGAAATCACTAATCTGGCGATGCACATGAGAAAGCTGGTTGGAAGTACACACCCGTTGGTTGGAACTGGAAAGTAAGCATCTAAACCCTTCATTTTTATACTCTCATGGCCCACAATCAAGATTGAAAGAAATTGTCCATAAGTTATGTAACTGAGTAATTTCCTTTTCAAGTGTTTATTGAATTATTGTTGAAATAATTTTCATACATTTATGACATTCGAAAGAAATTTCTTCATCATGTTACATTATTTATGAACTGATCTTGTCTCATTTAAATTCAAAGCAAATTAGGAACGTGCGAGTTGAAAAAGATTTTTATTTAAATTCCAAAATATTCAGTTTAACGTAAGAGTGACTCGACTAAATGTTGAATTTTTAGATTTTTGTTTTATCAAAGAGACTTATCACGATGTGTTGTTTTTTTTTTGATGGCCAAAGCTGAATGTCGAGAGAGAGAAATTTCGACTTGACCCTGATTCAATTCGGGCTTTTATTTTTTCTCTTCGATGCGTAACAAACAACGAAGACTGAGCAATACTTTGTTTGTTTTATTTTTCTTTGGTCACAACAGATCACTTATTTATGGTCAGGGAAACATGCAAACTTGGGGACTTATTGTTCTTCTCGTCTCTAAAATGGCTGGTCATGCGAAAGGAATTTTAGAAAGTGAACAAGATAAGAGTGCCGGTGTTTTAATGTCGCAACGAACCCTTGCCGAAGTTGTCGAGATGGTGAGAACAGCAAATATGATTCACAGTTCCGGTGTGCTTAACTTACAGCATTTACAAAAATCCGGGAATGATTTGTCCTTCGATTCGGATTTGATTTTCGGCAATAAAATTGCTTTGCTTGGTGGTGATATTTTACTCGGAAACGCGTCTACGCAAATGGCACAACTTAAGTAAGTTCATCGATAATTGTTGAATAAACTTTTTAATCTTTTTGCTAAAAAATCATTCAATGTAGGAATCAAGAAGTTGTTGAGTTGATGTGTACAGCAGCAAGAGATATTTCCGATTCACATTTCATTGGGGAACGTGATGTACAAAATAATCCGCTACCATCCGATCCATCGAAGAAAGTTGAAGAACAAATGAAGTCAGCTATAACCTCGGAAGTACAAGTTGATGAAGTTGATAATCGCAAGCCATTTAACTTGAAAGACGTAATGGGAAGCCCCGAAAATGAATGGACATTGCGTCATACATTAGCAAATGGCACGTTGTTGGGTAAAAGTTGTCAAAGTGCTTTGTTGCTAGCAAAACAATCTGAGGAACTTCAAAAGCAAGCTTATTTCTTTGGTAAGCATTTGGCATTGGCTTGGCAAGCGAGCATTGACTTGGAACCTTACAAAACTGAATTGCCATTGGGACATAAACTCAGTCTTGTCAGTGCACCAATTTTGTTCCATCTCGAATACGATTCGTCATTATACACTGAGATAAAGAAAGGAATCGAAACTGTTGATGATGTCAACTTCTACAAGATTCATAAAGAAGTTGCAAAAGGCCCGGGACTTGAACGAACAAAAGAACTTCAAAGCAAACACACACTGCTAGCAATGACCGAATTGTACAAATTTCCCAAATCAGATGCTCGCTCCGCCCTTGAAAATATCATTTTAGCGATGCAGGAAGATTAAGATATAGAAAAAAAACCTCGGACTTCGTTTAAACAAATTAAATTAAAAATTTCAAATGACATTGCCACTAAATTTGTGTTAATCTGAAAGGAGAAGAATTTACAATTTTCAAATGTGAATGTTTTAAGTTGCCAGTATTTAAATTGAAAGTTAGTTCGATACATTTGTATAAAAAAAATATTAAATTAATTAATGAAAGCTTTTTTTTTTACTTTGGGATACATTTGTGAATTTTGTCATGGAAAAAGAAATCATTAAAATAATTTTTTTAACTAAAATACTTTCATTACGTAACATACTGATCTGCCCTAATCGATAGAAATTCTTAAATAATGAGATGGAAAATGAAGCTATCAATGATGATCAACGAGAAATTTTTATGGATTCACGATTTTCGCTGTTTAAAACAAACGAGAAGAAGAAAAAAATGAGGCAAAATTATTGACTCTGAAAACAGTAAAAAAAAACATCAACGAAATGGAGAGGGAGCTTTGAAGGTATTCACAGAGCTGTAAGATTTATTATTTGTTAATCTTCTTTTGTGAAATAATACAAACATTTTCGTCTTTGGAATTTAAAAAGTTTTTTTTTTAAGTTTCTAGTAAAACTTTGAAGCATTGCAGCTGTTGAGATTAAATGAATGAGTCTCGCGATAGTCACGAAACGTACTTATTACGGTGTTTAAGTCACTTACATTGAGAATTCTTGTCAACGTTCAGCGAGTTTCATCTTCACTTGATGATGATGATGATGATGAAGGTGACACAGACAATAAAGTCATTGATGATTCGTCAACAGAAGAATTGCTCAAGCTGCTATTCGATGAATGTTTAAGTTGCATATGTCGCTGCAATTCCCTCCTTTTAAGTAAAATCTTACTACAAATGTGACACTTGTATACAGAAGAACTACTCGACGCTGTATGATGATCACTACTTTGGTTGTGAAGGCGAATGTGTTTGTTTAGATTACTCGGATCGCCGAATGCTCGAAAGCAGTGTCTGCATTTCAATGGCTTAAAACCTTATTATTTAAAGAGAGATCAAATGTGTAAGCTCGATTAGTATTCAGTCACATTTCATGGTCAGGCACGTCTTAATTTTTAAATTAACAAGGTGAAAAAAAAACCAGTATTAACAATTTAATCGAAGACTTCTTTTGTTTTTGTTGTGGTTTAGTTTTCTCTCGTGTAATTATTTGTCAATAACGTTTATTGAGAATCTCACCTGTGTGTGTTCGGATATGAATTTTTAATCCATATTTTCGCGAATAAAGCTTTCCGCAATAAATACACAAATGACCTTGCTTGCTTGTTCCCATATTACTGACGATGGTCTCAAGATGAGCTGCAGCAGCAAGTGCTGAGTCATGTGACACAGGTGATAAACTTGGCATTGGCATTGCTGTTGTCGGTGGTGAAGATGAATTTTCGCATTTATTGATGACTGGTTGGAATGCAGAAAAGCGACGATTTGAGGTCGTAGGATGAAATTGGTTAAGCATTTCAAAATTTCTTGATTGAATCAAAACTTTTCTTTGGTGACGTGAAAGTAATTCAGCTTGAAGTCGTTTCCATAATAAACTCTCTTCAAATTGATCGCAATTACGTGCTAAATGAATTTTCAATTGATTTGGCACCTCATATGAACGATAACAATGCAGACAAACATACGCCTTCTGACCTAAACAGATGAATCACAAACGAAAAAAAAAGAAACTTTCAGATGAGAAATTAAACGAAAAAACTTTTATTTTTTGTGTAAAAGAGATTTCACTTCCATCTGTAAGCCCATGTGGCTTCATAAGCGGAAAATATGAATTATTAGCAAAAGATAATTTTTTGTTGTAAGTTAAAGAACCGTTATGACTAACAAATTACATTAACTTAAATTTCTTTTTACATTTTTAGAAACAATTGTTCATTACCCTGAATATTTGATGGCGCTAGAAATGGAATTCCCATCAAGTTTAAGATTTCTTCGGAGAACCATAACAGCAGTTCATCACCAACATTCATCGTCTTAATTGATCTCATTTCAACATTGTCGTCTCTGATTTCGAGCAAAGTATTTGCACCGGGAATGTCGTCAGCAATTCGAATACTTTTCAACCAAAACTTTTGTTTCATTATTGATTCCGTTGGCGAAATTATTTTATCGTTTTGTACACTGACAATAAATTTTTTTGGCAGATTTTCTTCGATTAACATTTGGTCAAATGCAAATTGATTGGATTTCAAATTCTTTTCGATTACACTTCCAGCAGTCACTGTTTTATCACAAAAATTATTTCTTAATATGCTTTCAATCTCAAATTGTGATCGCTTTGCATTTTTATTGGTATCGTTATCACTTATTCTCACACATAATCGACTGTTTGCTGCATCAAATACGAACTGTGATGCAAGTGGATACATTTTAATTTATTTTCCGTTTGTCTTGCTACGTCAAAATCAGAGAAACGTCTGACGATCATCCCGAAAATGTCCTCGAATTTATAAAACGATTTTTGCATTCCCATTTTTCATTGAACCAGGGAAACTCTTTCATCCCTCACAAACTGCAGCATGTGGAAAACAAGTGCATAAAATCTCACGAAACATTCCTTCGATAATGTTTTCATTTGTTCGTGCTTGGCTTTTTAAACACAGTGTGACTAAATAATTAAACCATTAATTGAAAAAAGTTGGCAATCCTATAAGGGTCTGAGTACTGCTGATGTAAAGATAGACAAAATAAGATCGCAATCGTAACACAATACGACGAAATATTTAGAACTCTAAAAGTAAAGTTTCTATGATAATCGGAAATTAAATGACTCAATAACAACGACACCGCCCAGCATCACAAAGAATGATACAAAAAATATTTGGGGTATTTTCAGCAGTTCAGTCTACTTGTGAAATTTTAAATATTCTCTGAAATGTCCAAACAGAAACGAATGAAATGACAAAAGTCTAAGCCGAACCCTTCATCCCTAAAATGTTTAAGGTAATGCTATGATTGTAAATAAACACCACCCCATTTCATCCCAAACACCAACATTTTCATGGACCAAGTGCAGTAACCTGCATGCTGAGTTGCTTTCTTTCTAACATGTCCCCTACCCGAAACGAAAATATCTAATCAGAATCAATTTATGGTGAGTTAGCTTTTCAAATGGAATTTTGATGTATGATGTTTGTCTGATTGGAAAGCGATTGGAAGGGAGGATCCTCGATTAGTTTGTGCGGTTGTACGAATGTGTGAGTGCATTCACTGTTAATCGAGGGTTGGTTTCTCTGATCTTCTATGTTGATATTAGCAACCCCTGCTGACAATAAAAACTTTGATTAAATAAGCCAGGAAGAAGTGGTTTCCATCCCGTGTTCAAATCACAAAGAAATTATAAGAGAAACATTTTATTTTTGAATTCGAACTGAGTATTATAAATCAACATGTTAAGGTGCTTACATGATTTCAACTTTAAGAGCATTTAAAAAAAAAATGAAATGTAATTGTGCAAACACAGAACACATGTTTTTCACGATCGTTTTTCACAAGCAGTGAATTCAATCAGATTAATGAATTAAAAGGATTTCTTTCATTTTCATTAGGTTCATTTTCGATTTCAAATGATGACACTTTAATGATAACAATTATCCAATTCCTTTGTTGTCATCTCATCATATTGCACATTTTAATGCTTGAATAAATCGTACATGATGCGATTATTTAATTAGAATATTTATTCACCGCAAATATGCCACACAGAGACCGATCATATTAACACAAAATCTATTCACGTAATTAATAAAATGACTTCATCTGTAATGTGTGCTACGCTCAATAACACTTGCTACATATTAGGAAATATTTGGGGTTGTTCTGCATTTGGTCAAACCTGCCCTAACCACATAGTGTAAATGACTATGAAAAATCTTCGATCTGTTGCAAATTAGAACCGAACTTTGATGAATTGAGTTTTTCGATGTCATTGACGAGTTGATGTTGCTATTGCGATAACTTCAGCTGATCTCCCTTTGCGTTTGTAACTATTTAATCAATTTTCTACGGTTCTGACGAAATAACATTCAAAGCAAAATTATTTTTTCTTTCAGCATGTTTTCGATGGTTTTGTTCAGCTTTGCTTGACTTACCACCATCATCAAATTGACGATGAAAAATTGAGAAGTGAAATGTGTTATTTTTCCGCGATTTAATTTGCTTTTTGTTTGGTTTCCTTTATATTGATAGTGGCTTGAGAAAAGCGTCACATGGCAGTTCCACTTGTTTTCTCAATCTGGTGTAGCCGGCAATGAAGGGGAAGAAGCTTACATGAAATCATTTAAAAGTCTTTCAAGCAAGCATTAAAATGGATTTGTAATATTTTTTAATATCCGTACAAGGACCATCATGAACCAGGACTATCACGAGAAAAAGCAGGTGTTACCATAAAACTTTGCTTTAATTTGATATGCTTTTTGCATTGGAAACCGCATTAGGGGAAGACTAGAAAATTTCTGATTGATGTTGAAAGGATGAGCAATTTTTTAAGCCAAGCAGAATCATTGGATATTTAATTTTTTAGGGATGGTTTTTGTTTGTTTAAATAATTAAATGATTGCATAACATTTGAATTTGAATTCGTCTCAATTATTATATTTCTATTATTGCAAAATTCAATTTAAATTGATCATAATTTCATTTATATTAAATACATTTTAGAATCTTTCTGTCATTAATGTTTGCATTGGAAGAAATGTTTAATTAACGTATGAAAAAGTTGAAAATTTTGAAAGCATCGTGAGGTGAAGTTACAAAAATATTTTACATTATTATTTACTTTTCTTTTTATTCTCAACATAACTTCATTGAGTAAGTTTTCAGAAGAAAAGGGCAAATTTTTATGTTGCATTGGAATTTAATATCTTGATAGTTAAAAGTTTGTCTCGACATCTGAATGCTGCATTTGCAAATATTTGCACTCAGCTATTATTGCCAAATGATAATCACCACCTTCAAATTGCCCTTAAGTTATACTGAGTAAATATCTTAGCAATCCATTGTTCGTCCACATTAATTAAAAAATATTTTTATAAAAAAGAAATAAAAAACTTTCAAATCTTTCGCTTCACAAATTTGCACGTATCTTTGAACACCTACAAATTATCTACTTGGATTCAGAAATTATTTAATCTTCATAATGAAAGATTACACAAGTGTTGAGATTAAATATTTAATCTCAAGCAGACAGGGATTATAAATGCACATGCAGACTAAAGCATTTTGTCATGACGCAGCTATCAAGAGCGAGATTTTATTTATTGTCTGATCAGATTAACAGTTTAACGAATGAAATTTCATTGTCAGTTGGTCAACGATTAAAACATTTGGAATTATGAAACTTCTTTCTCTTCTGGTGTTCAATAGCTAGACCGTGAAGACAAGAAAACAAGTAGATTAAATTTTATTTGCCAACCAGTTATTTGCACTTGGCGTTGAAACTTGTAATTGCAGAGTGATGGCTTCATTCAATTACCAGATTGACTTTAAGTGATAACATTAACGATCATAATTGTCTTAATTGTAAAATGTTTAAAAGCAGCTATTTAAATGCCATTACTGTACGAAATAAAATATTTATTGATGCAACAATATAAACTAAATTTAACAAACAAAAATTAAAGATCACTGAGCTTACCAAACCCATTTGGCATCGATAGAAAGATCATTCAAAATTATTAGTAATCTTTCAATTATATTTTGCATAAATTGTGTTCATTAACCACCATAAACATGTTTTTCTACGCCGCTTCAAAATATTTTGCTCTCAATCTTCATCGCTGCCGACAACAACCAACACGAGACAAACAGAAATTGCGAAAAAAAATAATTTTTGACTCCGTCATGTCATCGTTCTTGATTTTTTATTGATTAAATATATTCAGCAACGTTTCATCTCACTGAATGACATTTGTTGTCATGTTTCATGATGAATAGCAAGTGCTGATTATGTTTTTTCTTTCATTTCTTTACTTATGTTGCAAAATATGCTTTTGAAAACGAAAGCAAACAAATATTCAAAATCGATACAATATGATTTGAATGAAACAGATAAAATAACATAAAAACGAATATGTATTTGCAAAATTGGAAAATAATTTAAGATCAAGTCTATAATAAGTTATAGAATGGACAATAAAATTGATCTTGAAGATGATTTGCAACTTCTTAACTTAAATGAATTTGAATGAAGGCTGGAAATTCAAAGAAAAAGTTTGCAACTAGTAATGAATTATTTAGGCGGTTTTTATAAAAAAATTATAATTATGTATTTATAACAGCACGAGTTGAACTTTTTCTTTAATAAGTAAATGTTTGGTGCACAGAAATATTGCACAATTTTCACAACTGACAGATATCGGTCACGAATTTCTCATATTAATTGATAATTAGACACCTTTGGTTTCTTTTGTTTGTATGATGACAGTGGAATAAATAATAACATGTGTTTGTATGATCTGACATTTCTAATGAATCTTGAATAAATAATAAACAGATTGATAGAATTATAAACTTAAGGATACTTGAAGAAGAAACAAAGTACGCAGATTCATCAATAAAGTTGTTCTGAAAGTGACAATGACTCAACAATTCCTTTCATCGAGAAGTTCTTTCGACCTTGCTATAAAAAGTTTTGTCTGCAAAAACTAATTAAAATATGCAGTTCGAGGTGTTTTGCATTTTTTCTCTCGCATCATAAATTTTTCTTTCTCTCTTAAGTTTAAAAAGGTTGGCGTTAGCGAGTAATCCAACGAATGCAGGTGGGTCCAAAATCTCTATGAGTGAAGGCAAAAATATTTGAGTTTTGATTTAAAAAAGAAATGAAATAAGAGAGAGAGAGACGTTTTTAAGTCGAGCAAACGTTTTACTATAAATACCCTGTGGATTAGTTTAAGTAACATCAGTTCATTACTTAGTGGTTCGAAGATTGGATAAAGTCCTTATAAAAATATTAAAATGAAAGTTGTAAGTATTCAAAATACTTTTGAAATTGCCACCAACAAATTCTTCTTGTTGTTTTTCAGTTTATTGCCCTGTCAGTGCTTCTTGCAACAGCTTGTGCTTCTCCTGTTGGTGATTATCAACATTATCAGACAACGCCAGTTCCCATTGTTAAGTTCGATCATCAACAAAACCATGATGGTTCTTACCAATACGCATATGAAACTGGAAATGGAATAAGTGCCCATGAATCGGGATATGTCAAGAATGCTGGAGTTAAGGATGCAGAAATTCAAGTTGCCCAAGGATATTACAGCTACACTGGTCCTGATGGTCATCCTATCACTGTTCACTACACAGCTGACGAAAATGGCTTCAGAGCTGAAGGAGATCATCTTCCAACTCCTCCACCTCTCCCTAAAGAAATTGCTGATGTGTGGGCTAAAATCGCATCTCAACCACAGCAGCAACAACAACAACAGTATTACGATCAAAACAACCATCAACAACAATACTACAATAAGGCTTATTAACTTGCTAATGCAATTATGAATTGTTCAACTCAATGAATATATTAGTTTCAGTCATCAATCGTGACTTAATAAAGAGAATTATTGTGATAATTAAAAACACGATTAAAAATGATTTAATTTGATTTTCATGACGATTCCATCTTATAAAAAACAGGAAGCTGGCAAAATTAAATATTTTCACGTTTTATTATAATAAATAAATGAAATTTCTTTTTATCGCTTATTAAGCAGCTTACGATTTAGCGGCTGTTAAGTTTGATGGCTGATTCTGTAAAATGTTGTACGAATCTGTGATAACTTACATGACAGTTTCATTCCATTCAATGAAATTCTAGCATTTATCAAAGAAGCGACAAATACTTGTCATTAGAACGCTCACGATTATTAACAGTAATTTAGAAGCACAATTTCATTAAACGTTGTTCTTCAATTATTGAATAAGCATTTTTATAAATTGGAAATTTTAAGATCAAGAAAATATCACAAACAGTTTTCATTCCTACATTAAAGCTTTGAAATTATTTCACCTACCAGTTTGAATTAATTGAAAAAGCTCTACATAGAAGCTTAATTTATAACAGAAAATAAAATCAGTTAGGAATTTAAATTTTTATAACAGTTAAAGCTTTTGAGAGCTTTCAACAGTATTTGATACCAATGCAGTCAAATTAAATTAAAGTGCCCATTAACTGAGGCATTTTTAATGTTTAAAATAGATATTAAATGTTTTCCCATCTCGCATTTATAATAAATTCAACAATTTCATATAAAATGTGAAGATCAACAGCACATAAAGTTGTTTATATGAAAACTTATGATCCAAAATTTATTCAATTTCGTCGTGAAGCGATTCACATTTATTGTTACGCTATTAAATAAGCATCATGAATCGTTAATAATCGATTTGAAATCGCAATAAAAAAATAATGTCACAAATGTCTTAATGTAATTGTATTAATTTAGATTTTAAACATACAAACTTATTTATTCGCAGTAAGAGGATGCAAAAGCAAAATGTGGCGACAAATTTATTGAGTATGTAAGCGCTGTCAAATGACAAAGTTCTTTAGATTTTCAAGAAATTCACTAGACGTCTAAAATTTCAATATTTTACAACAACTTTTAATAAACTTCAATTTCTTAGATACACAATCTATTTTTTCTTCATCTCGCTTAAAGTTTACAAACGCTTGCATGTTCAGCGATGATGAGTTTTAATTTTCCAGTTTCCTCGCGATAGGGTCACGGTCATCAATTTAAATGTTATATAAGCAATAATTGCCGAATGACATATTAGAAGATCTTCTCGCTTGTTAAGTATTTTACATTTTTTTCTATCTCGATAAATATTTATGAATTACTTTATTTTATTTAGACATTTACAGCATTTCAGTTGCTTCACAGACAGCTTCAGTCACGTCATGAAATCAACATGAGCTGAGATCTGAAATAAAAAACTCAGTTTGTTTCTCGCGAAATCGACAGGAAATACCTTACAGTTATATTTAAGTTAACTGACTTTTCATCTGTTAAAAACAAATGATCTTACAGCAAACTTTCGTGTTAAACATTGTTATGAGAAGAAGATCATCTGATTACGAACAGATCTGCTTATTTGTATGATGAACTTTAACAATTTTGTTTTTGCATTAATGACCTTCATGTGGGATTTGTTTTTATAAAAATAGCAAATATATCTTTATTCAGAGGATTGATGTCTCTCTAGCAATTAAACAAATATAAAAATGATCTTTCTTCAACTTTTATTGAACTAAGTAGTTAAGTTTTGTGTTTGCTTCTGAAATTTTTTGCTTTATTGATGATTCGTCATTTGATTGCTTTTTTATTATCCTTCTGTTTAATTAATTATGAACTACATAAAACCTTCACTTATCCCGACAGACGAATGTCAAAATAATGCATTGAAATTTTGAAAAGGTCCTCATTGATGTCTTGCAATTTGCCTGAAGAATTTCATCAATCAAAATATCATTAAATAGTTTTGTTTATTACCAATTGCGCTTGCGCAATCCAAGCATCGTTTAAAGTTTTGAGGATAAATTACTAGACTGATATTTTTTTCATCCATCTGGAAACAGTCATGCCACTGTTAAGAAGTTAAGGTCAACTTTATGATTGCAAAAAAAGAAGAAGTTCCATCCATCACTTTGACTTTTAAATATTTTAATATTTTTTCTCCTTAAAACTTTCATTTTCGTTGATCTTCAAACGCTGTTCAGGGTTTGAAGTTGTTTTCCCTCTTCATCAACACAGCACGCATTCCAACGTCAATTACTGTCAAGCCCTGTTAACAACTTGACCACAGAAGAGAACAAAAGCAAATTCCGATAATGAATGGATGAACTGACGTCTCCATCATAAGCTCTATTAATTTCTCATAACGTTGTTCAGTAGACAAAAAAAATAAATCGGAAATTTTCAACGTCGCTGACGTTCATACGCTTCCTTCTTCTCAACAGAAATTTCAAAAAAAATATCGGCACAAGTTTAATCGCAGGTTTAGATCAAGAGAAAAAGCTCGATTATTTGGGAACAGATCATTGGATTATGAATGGTAGTCAAACGACGTACATGGACCTTCAACTTCACCGAACAAGTAATTATAATTGATTTTTTACCATCATTTACTTATTGCGATCAAATGATGTTCCGTGGATTAATGATGCGGTTTTTATTTATTATTGCTTTGTTCTTGTAACATCCTCATTTAACAACGGTTTATTATTTTTAAACGCTTCATTGTTTCCAGCCCCGAAAATTGTACCCTTCGTTGTTTTCATTAATTTTCATTGTTTTCGACGACTAATTTTTTTTGTGTTGTGAGCTTTATACGCAATGTAGAACTACGATGATGATTAATAAATTAAATATCCAATTACATACTTTTTCTTCAGCCTGATGTTTTTGACCCAGACGTGACATGACACAGTTTCAGTTTTCTCTTTAGTCAATTGCGCTAGCAGATGAGAAAAAAAGGCTCATAATACTAAATGAAATCGAAATTTCTGTTAAATCGGTGTGAAGAAGCAAATATTTAAACGATTCAATATGATGTTTGCTGATAGTAAAATAATCGTCGTCATTTGTCACCACAATATTTAACAATCATTAGCTATTTTTTAAGATTCGAATATTTATAAAGAATTCGCAGATGTTTATGACCGAGATTATCTGTTTTTGGTGATGTAAGAAGAAGAATTACGGAAGAAGTCAAGAATTAGAATCCTGGAGAATTGTCGAGAATATTTCTTTTATTTTTGGTGTTCATATCATTGTGTTCATTCGGGTTCTGTTTTGAAAGCGAATATTAAAAATTATTTACGTATTAAGCTTTCGATTATGTCACAAAGAGGCAAAGAACAGAAGATTTCATTCTTACAACGCGAAATAATGAACCATAAATTTAGTACAAAAGTAAACGTTAATCAACACCTACACCTACACACACACAATGGACATTCATACATACATCAATGACTATTGACGATTGAATGTCGCAATTAAAAGTTGATGACACTCAACAATTGAGCGTTATTCTTCAATTCATGTTGGCATTCATAATGTTAATCTCTAAACAGTGATGTTAAACTTCAACCTCTTGACATTTAAAGGAAACCGTGGGGATTTGAGCTCCTTTGGACGGGCTTCATGCACAGTTATATTGTTTTCTATATGATAGAAAAAGACCCGATGACCTTACATGCTTTTTCAACAAATTAACACAACGATTATTGTCGTGGTCGGCAAGTGCTTTAAACTTTTTATTTCAATATTTTTAATTTGATTGAAAATCTTTTAATCGATTAGATTCCATCATATGTTTTTATGTTTTTCGATGATGATATTTAAGGAAATTAATTTCGTGTTATAAGCAAAGTGGAAATTAAAGAAGATTGTTTTAAAAGAGGTCCATGTGCTAAATGGCAAAAGCTTCTTTTTGATGCATACAGCAAACAGCAAGCCGCTTTTGTATCCTTGACCCCTATTAACGTTTTGTTGTTTATAAACAACAACCAAGTGTCAATAATCAATTATTCAAATTATTTGAAAATTCCATCCGCACCTGAAGAGTTAAAACATCTTCATTTGATTGTATTTCAAATAAATAAGAAGCTGAGGGAAGAAAAGAAGATCTCTTTGTTAACGAAATTGTTTGGAGAGATCTCAAGCGACAGATTGCAAACATTATCGTAAAATTCAATGCTTATAGTTTATATTTTTATCGTGAAAAACTAGTTGAGGATGATTAACGGATAATTTTAAGTTAATTGTTTGTTTTGGCGTCTGCTGCGATGCCATAAAATATTTGATGTGCGTATCACACCACACAATATCACGTTAGCGATCAGTAATCACAACAAATTGATTTTTTATGTTGATGATGAATTTTCCTAAAGTATGATATTCAATCATTCGTTTAATTTAATACCTGAATCAATATATTCTGATTATGATGATGAAAGGCGGTGATATTATAGTCATGACATTTGACATCCTTAATTATGAATCTTCGCACGAGCTATCGAATGACTCAACAATGTCATGACACTGCATGTATTAACTTGAAACAGATGATGACGATAATCTTCCCAAATCGAGATGCGACGATGTTGAATTTGCAACTATGAACTTTTTAAATGCTTTATGATATAACTCTTCAGTGACGAGCCATAAATTATAAGACTCGGCAAGATGCAAATTTTCTGACATGTTCTACTGCGAAAATTCCGTTTCAGATGACGCATCTTAACTCGATTAAATAACAGTGCAAAGATCTTCTGATATGTACAATTATGGGATTGTTTTAAAGTTACGTAACTTGGACATATTACCCATGCCTACCTAAAATAAGTCAAGCATTTTTAACACACTTAATGAGTGAAAAAGCGGAACAAAACAAACAATCGATAGCTTCCGATTGACGCAACATCTTGATGACCCTCAAGTATGAGTGAAAAATCGTTTTGCTTTTGAAACGCGTCAATGAAGTGAAGTATCGTTTTTATTCGATGTCACGATCAAATTTCTTTTGTTAAATCTTGTAGTAGGGCTAAAACGAAAGAAACAAAAAGAAATAATTTGCGTAATCAATTATTGCAGCATCTGAAGTGAGCGTACAACAAAATAGCAATAAACTTTTACTGCTTAACTTTTTTTTAAAGTCGGTGACATGCGCATGGCTAAAAGTCATTTCTCTTAACGATTTGTGCTTTAACATTGTAACACATCATCTTTTTGGAATCTAGTCATTTCTAGAGGTTCGTGAGGGGTCATAAGACGTAAATCATTGGATTGCAATTAAGCGGGTGACATGCAAATTTTATTTTTATTCCAAAATATCATACTTGATAAATGATCACACTCGACAAGAAGATTCAAAATAATAAAATCTTTGATTTGCGCCGGATTTCTTCACTTGTTACCTTGTCTTTCCTTTAATATGCAACGAGCAAGAAAATAAATTAATCACATGAGTAAATTGCGATAACATGTTGACCATAAAAACATTCGGCGCTTTAAAAATTCTTGTGAGAATTTCACAAGAGAAATACATTTTATTGAGGAAAAATATTTTTATGAGTCTGTCGGGACAGTCGAAAGCAACTTGGAATTAAATTGCAAATGATGTCTTTAAAGCCAGATAACATTTTTGTTTCTCTAACGTTAATTTGACAGTTCAGTTATTGATAAAGTGTGACAATAAAGATTTTTCATGCAAGAAATGCAAAATATTTCCTGAATATTCTGTTGAACCTGAAGTTTAGTAGTAGCATTATATATTTAAACGTAATTAAACATTCAAAAGAGCTTATGATGGAGATTAATGTTATCCGGAATTCCATAAGTTGTTATTACCAGATTCTTCATCGCTTTATTTTCAATAACTGATGTTTTAGCAACCCGATCATTCCATTTTTTCGTAAACGATCGTAAAGTTTCAGACAGACAATCGAAACGTGATATTTTGCGAAACCATGAACTTCGACAAGGAAGATTTATTTTCATTTATTATTGTAATTCAGTAGCGACGACAATATCAAGTTCATATTTATGGCTTTTGTTCTTCCTCAAAAATGATGACATTAAATATTTGACAAATGACAACAAACAGAGTATTTACGATAACAAGTGTGATGCTTCTCAGGTCAAATAAGCTTTTTAATGAAAAATAAATCAAATATTTTACACATAAACATGACATTTATTTAAACATTTTAACATTTCAAATTGCTCTACAAATAGTGGGTTTTTTGACTGTAGAAATTACGTCGTTAATATCTTAAAATAAATTAAAGAATCGTCTTCTAAATATTTAACAAAAAAGAAATCAAAGTTCATCCGTTAGTCAATTTGATCCATCATCAAAGTTAATGTTCATTTCATTACCAACTCGTGTGTAGTTACAATTGAAACCCCCAGAGCCTTTTCAATGAATATCTTTGGAATGTCTGTCCCGATCTAAGAGACCGAATCTGTATTTCAATCAAAGACTCCGTTTATTAAAAAATAATTTTCTTCCACGTATTTCGAGGCTGAAAAATGTTTAAAAAAATTTATGCGACTTCAATTGATCATATTCAGATATGAAAGAGAAAAAAACAAAAAAATCTTTTAGCACATTCGAAATGCAAGCGCTGAAAAGTCACATAACAAATTGACGACGCTCTTGGTGTTCTCAGTAGTTTGTCATTGCATGCTCTTAATGACGATACTTGTTGAGCGATATCTAGCGCCATCAATCTTTAAGTTATTTTTAAATTAAAAGCACAACATGCAAGAAGAAAAATATTTAATATTTTCTTGTAAATGGCAAATTTGACAAATTTTGATAGGTCACAACGTGGGTTAAGATTGAGAATCGGGCGGATGCCTCCTTGACCCGCAAAAACATTTGATGAAATAGAAAATAAATAATTTATGAACATTGATCACATGCAACAATCCATTCATTGATGACACTTGTATAAATTTTTTTCTTCTTTTTTCCTTTAACATTTTGCAAATTTGCAATAAACATTTCTACTACCTAAATGTAAATAAATATATTTGTTTATATACTTAGAAGTTAATGCATTTGTGCTTATGGATTTGTCAGCTTTGATATTTCAATTGGAATGTCATAGAGATAGATATATCAAGGATGAGTTGAACAGGAATCGTTTAAGGTCGCATGTAATAAATCTTCTGATTGCACAGATTCGATTTCTATAAATCAAAAAAATCACTTCTTAAAGCAACTACCGAAGTACATACTGCTAAATTTACTTGAAAAGGTGGCTCAATCATCACCACACAATCGCAATTTTACTAAATAGCAAATAACCGATCAGCGTCTTCATAAATCTAAGTTGAACAGTTCTCGAAGATCTCACGACATATCGCTAGACATTAGACATGTTTCTAAGCATGTGTGAGCTTTTGTGTTGTTGCTGTTTTTGTCGTCGCCGTTCACATATGCTTGACTACTAAGAGTAGGAAAAAAAAGAAGATGAGCGCATCAGAGCTTGATGATCAAGCTCTCATAGGTGCTTCTCGTAGATGATTTTTTGGCATTCGAACTTTAGTGTAGTCTCGGTGTCACATGTCAATGTATATGTGTTGTGTATAATATTTTATAACATCTTTTTTTAGGGATTATATTAAATTCATACATTTTCATCTCGTGCCGCAATGAAAAAAATGTGGTAGGAAATTCATATAAAAGCCGCTAGCTTAGTCAATATCTATCACACTAAGGTTCTACTCTTTGAAAAGTGAAAACTTCCAAAAGCACCAAAAAACATTTCAAAATGAAATTCATGGTGAGTCGACGATACTTATCTTGACTTGTGGATTAAGCAACAGTTTCTCGAAAGTGAAGCTTAAAGTGGATTACTTTTGGATTAAAATTATTTGAAAAATTGAACGATGCAATTTTTTGTGAGATTGAAAAATAATTGCAAAGATAAATTAATTAAGTGATTGAGTTTTTTTGCGAAGAAGAAAAAAGAGTAATAAATTGATTGACGTTGATCTTCTAAACATGAAGATGAAGAAGAAGAAGGATGTTGCTGAAGATTTGGCAAGCGAATCTTCTGATAAAAATGCAAAATTATTCAATTATTCAAAAGCAAATAATGTGTTGTAGATGATTATCTCATATATTCTTTATGTGAATCCTCAAAACGCGACAAGCACTTATCAATAATGTGATAAATAAATTACAGATCGCACTTGCCGTCCTCGTCGCATGCGCCTGCGCTGCCCCACAAGCTCCAGTCGAGACAGTTAGATTCGTCAACGACATCCAAGAAGATGGATACAATTTCGCGTGAGTGTCATTAAATTTCAATGAAAAATTTATAACGTAATTGGAAAATAATCTATGAAATATTAAAAACAATTAGATACGAAACATCCGATGGACAGAAGCGCGATGAAACTGGTACACTCAAGGACGCTCCACCAACTGAAGACAATCCAAACGCCAAAGCTATTGACATTGTTGGATCATACGAATTCACATCACCAGAAGGTAAGTTTCAATGATTCATGAACTTTTGTAATTATCTGTCGTTTGAGGCTGTAATGAGTTGAATGAAGAAATTTCAATGCTATTACTTCATCACTAATGAAATCTTACTTTTCACAGGCAAAACTTATCGCGTTGAATACACCAGCGGTGTCAACGGATTCTTGCCAAAGGTCACCATTGTTTAAATTCTTATAAGTCTCCATCTAAGAACGATATTACACCAAGTCAATCAAAGATGCAAAATACTCAAAGTTCAGCTATGAACTTATCGTCTTTTCCTCTCTTCTATTTCCATCTTGAGAAGTCAAAATTTTAAAACAAAAAAAATGTTTTACGATCATCTTCTTTCTGTGAGATTTATGTTTTTAAATGTACAATAAAATAAAATGTTGTTACAAAAAACAAAAAACAAAAAAGCATTCGTTAATTATTGTCCACAAACTAAATCTTTTTATTACAGTCGTTTTGTTAGTGATTGACCCACCATCATCACGTAATCTACCTAGTCTCATGCTAATAAGGCTTTCTGAACTTTGCAAACTGAAACTTAGTATTATAAGATATTACCAAAGAGGGCTCGGTGAATCAATTCATGCCTTGGTGACCCTTTTAACTGAAGTTGAAACATTTGATATTTAGAAACTCTAATCGCAGTTAAGTAAATGACGAAGATGAATACACTTAAGTAGGTATCTAAGTTGTTAAGGAATGCTGAGGGTTTTTATCTTGCAAACGCGATCGTTTCAACTAATGTAATATGAATGCATTAATGTAGCTACTTGAATTATTTTAACTGGTAATATACAATTTTTGTTTGATATTTCAAAGAAAATATTTGCACTTTAAGCATTCAAAAGAATTTTTCTGCTTTTTTAAATTCGACTGAAGGAAGACATTAATTTAAATACGGTCAAATAATAACTTATTTTACGGGACTTAAGATAATGTACATAAAAGTTAATAAAGTGATTTGAAATGCAGAAGACTTAAATGCTTGAAGACTCGTGATATCTCAAACTTCTCTTCCTTCGGTTTAACCTCAGTTGTTTTTGTGACTTAAAGTTGTTGAGTGAATGTAATATTTAATAATAATGATATGTCTTTTCTTCTTTTATTTCGCATTAACAACAAGGCAGATACTTTCATAAGTATCTTCTTTGCGTTTTTTCTCATACAAATTATTCACATATTTTGATATTTATAAGCAAAACTTGACGTGATTATTGTACTCATGATTAAAAGCGTGTGATATGACAGCGATGTAAATCAAATATCAATGTCTTCTCAATTGGATTTTAAGTACTCCCAACAATGTGATGATATTTAATTATTCACAATGAGAATGAAACCCAGTTTGAAGAGTATTTTAACAACAAATCATCATGAGTTTTGTGTGTTGTAATCATTTATTGTCAAAATGGTTTTAAATTGAAGTCGTTGATATTATTAAAAAGCTGTTAAAGATAGAATTTCTTGTAGCAATTGATTTTGAAATAATTGCAAACAACAGACTGAAATTTCAAACACTTTCGTTATTCTTTCTGTCGCTTTTGTTACGACTTTTGAGTAAACGATGAAATTCAGTAATTATTGTTCATTAAGGATGACAACTGTTCAGTTGATTTTACATAAATTAGTCACTTCGATGCACACAAGAAGCAAACAGAAGTTAAACATGCAAAGAAAAAACTGAAATGAAATTATTTCTTTTAAGCATGCAATCAGCTGATGATGCTATCGACTTCCTTTGTTGTGATTTAAAAAGTGCTTGGATGCATCGGAAGCTTGATTATCCATTGTAGTCGAAAGGAAATAAGTTTTTACTGATTTCTTTCTTAAGATGTTATTATGAAGCTTAAGATTGATGAACTAATCAGATATCAAATAGAATACTTTCAGCGGCCTTGCAGTTATGATTTTGAACTTTCTTATGTGCGCAAGAAAACCAAGTAAGAATTTTTACTTAATATTCTTGCTTCAATACTTTGCACATTTACTTAGCAAACAAGAAGAATAAGAGAAGCGAAGAATCCGTTAGTTGCGAATGTTCTTAGTCGATTTATTTAAAAGAGAAAGAACTTTCTTTGGATATATTCATTTCTATTCGATACTTCGAAGTGAGAAGAACGTAAGAGAGAAAATTGAAAGTTTCATTAAAAGTGCTAAATATCCATAATTATGAAGTTCTTAATGGTAACGAGAAAAACTGGATTATATTGATTTGTGAAACGTTTTATTAATTGAAGTTTATCCCATCATTTCTGTCATGTGAAAGGTTTTTGCGATGATTCTCACCGTATTCGGCGATTTAAGTGCTTTGCCATTCTTAGAGACGTCAAGAAATGTACCAGAGCTTTCTCTAAAATTACTCCCACCGGATTTAGCTCGTGACTATTCGTATTATGATCACCACCATCATCATCATCAACCAGATACAATTGATAAACGCACAACAAAGACACAAAGAGTTACTAAACCAACTAGAACAACTAAACCAGCAACATCGACACAAGCAGTAATAGTTGAAGAACCAAAACAACAACAAAAACCTTTCCAATCAAACTATGAAAAGCTTCCTGATGGTGGATATCGGTTTTCGTAAGGATGATTTGCATGAATTTACAATTACCGGAACTAAATTTGATTCAACAATTTGAAATAAAATATAAAATTTCAGATATACGACTGCTGATGGACAAACACGAGAGGAACTTGGATATTTCCGTGACAATGAAGATGGAGAAAAAATTTGGATTGTTGAGGGTTTCTATTCATATGAAGGAGCCGATGGAAAGCCTTACCGAGTCCAATATATAGCTGATGATAAAGGATATCGTATTGTGAAAAAAGAACCTAAGACTTATTATTATTATACCTAAATTAATTTGGCAACTTCTGGTAAGTTTGCATTTTTTTTAAATAAACATACATTTTTAGTCAAGAGAGAATTGTAAAAATTCTATTCCATTGCTTTAAAAATGTTTGAAAAGAAGCAATAAAAAAATTGTCAAAAATAAAAAGTCTTTTCATTTATCATCACATCTTCGTAACTTATTCTTTCAAATACAACATATCACGTAACTTTATATCCAAACGACTTCTCACATTTTTGCAAAGGTTATGACATCATTTGCAGAAAGAAGAAAACGAGAAAAAATTGTTGTGTTGACCTAGACATTCTCGGATGTTTGTGAAATTGTGTCTGTCTAATGATTAGAATTTTTTTTTATTGCAACAGGTTTCAAATTCCTGTCTGTTGACATCTTATCAAAAAAAAAATCATAAGGCACAGCTTCTAATTAATGATTGCGATATTTTTTTAACTGTGAATAACAAAAAATGTTGATTAGTTGTGTGACTAATTGGGTAGAAGTGTTGATTTAGCAATCGAGAATCTGAAAACAAATCTATGCAATTTACAGTAAAGATTTTTGGAAGAGACAAAAAAGACTGAAAATTAAGAGAGATGTGACTAGTTCCGGGAGTGTAAAAACATCAAATTAGCGAATGAAAAATGACAAAGAGCATTGAGCTTATTATTAAATATATTTTTTTCTTATGTCTTCGTATTTTTTATTTTTATTCTACTGAAGAGTTTTTTCTTTTTACTCTGGCTTCGTTTTGATGTGTTCAGCTTTTATTTTATCGCGTTCAGCAGCAGGAGGAAGTTCGGGGCTTATTCCATTTCGTTTTCTTTCATGCCTTACGCTAGTCTGTAAAATAGTAAATTGTTCTATTTGAAACGATTGTATTCTTATAAAGTTTTATTCTTCTTTTATAGACGTTGTTAAATTCTTAGAGCATCTCATTTAATTTAAATGTACAAAATATTCAAGATACCTGTTCTCATTAGAAGAAAAAAAAGATTCACATAAAAGTAAATGAACATTTTTAAGTGCTGCTTGCTTAGTCAAAATATAATTTTTTGTTATTAAATATGCAAGACTGAAATGCTTGTGGATACTTTCTTGAACTTGGCAGTTAAAAGTCAAGTTAAAATACTAACTTAGTAATTTTCTTTTGAACAAAAAGTGGCAGAAATCAAGGAAACGATGTAGTTAAACAAATACGAAAAATTATAGAAATGATTATTTCCAAAGTTCATAGCAAAGATTTTCGTTTATCGAATATCAGCGTTTTAGCTTAATTAACCTTCTCAGTTACTTCCAATTAAATGGATTTAAACATGTTTAAGTCCTTGACCATTTCATTATTGCAAATAATCAAGCAAATCATTTTAAGGAACAGCATCAGAAAAAAATAAGTAACGATACTTACCCAGAATTTCTGACAGTTTGTGTAGTTGGCAAAAAATAACGCACATTTATCCTTGTCATAATGATTTCTTGACAAGCATTTCAATGAACTTTCATGCTCCTTCATAGAAGAAAATAGTTTAAATAACGTTTCTAAGCGACTTGTGTACAACCTACCAAAGCGCAGGGATTATCAGCAGGTAAATGTACTTTTGGCATGATTTACAATGTAACTAATACGATTATCATAAATATTAGGATTTAGAAATACTTTTCAAATGACAATATAAGAAATATCCCGTTTGTTGATATTGCACAACAAAATCATATGTTTAGCCAGGTACGTACGAATTTCGAAAACCAGCCGCCTTTACAAATTCAGTAATAATGATTTAAATTTTCTGAAGTACAAAGTTAGTTTTTTTAATAAAGAAAAATCTCTCTTAATGCAGTAAAGTAATTTGTATCAAACATATTAAATTGAATTTTATTAAAAATACGAATAAGAATCACAATTAACTTATTTTTTAATTAAATTGTAAACTGTGATAATCTAGTACAATAATTTTCGAAAAAAGCTCTAAGAATTTGAATTTAAAATTTCCGTTAATATTGTAGATGTTGAATGTTAAAACTTTCAAAAACTTTGATGAATTTTAGTTTTGTATTGAGAATATTTAATGATGCATGAAACTTATAGCTATCTGGATGAGTCTTGTAGTTGTTACTGAATTAAGAAAAATTCAAAAATTAATTTAAAGTCTAATTAACTTGTTGCATTTTGTAAAGTTTAGCATATTTTTTCCCTTTCTTCATAAGCTCGTCATGTGAACCTTTCTCAACAACTTCGCCATTATCTAGGACATAAATTAAATCAGCATTTTGAACAGTTGTTAATCGATGTGCAATAATAATACACGTTCTTCCAGTTCTTGCTTTATCAAGAGCAGCTTGAACGATTTTTTCACTTTGAGTGTCAAGCGCTGAAGTCGCTTCATCAAGAAGTAAAATTTTTGGATTTCTTACAAGTGCTCGGGCAATTGCAATTCTTTGTTTCTGACCTCCTGATAATTGAGCACCTAATTCAATAAAATAAGTATTTAAAAGCCTTTAATATTATTTAATAATTTTTATCACCTTTTGATCCCAATCCCGTATCATATCCTTGAGGTAGTTTCGTAATGAAGTCATGAATGTTTGCTGATTTCGCTGCTTCGATAATTTCAGGCATTGAAATATCTCTATCGTTGTCACCATATGCAATATTTTCGGCAATAGTTCGATCAAATAAAATAGGCTCTTGAGAAACGAGACCCATTTTAGCTCTAATTCGACCTAACGGATAGTCAACAGTCATTGTATTGTCCAATTCTACTTCGCCTGCATCAGGATCATAATATCTGAGAAGAAGTTGCATGCAAGTCGACTTCCCACATCCTATGGAGAAAAATGTTTTAAGTTTATTCCCTTTCATTAATAATAAAACGAAATTTACCGCTTGGACCGACAAGTGCCACAGTTTTGCCTTTCTCAATCTCAAGATTAAGATTCTCAAGAACAAGAACTCTTTTACGGGTCGGATATCTAAACTCAACATTTTTGTAAACGATGTTTCCTTCAGTTGTCTATGAAATATTGAAAGTTAACAATGAATAAATAAAAATTTAGATTTAAATAGAATTTTACATCATAATCCTTGTTGGGCAATGGATTTGGATTACTCATGTTAGGGACTCTTTTTAGAAGTTTCATAATTCTCGATGCTGAAACGACAGCTGCATTTACATTTGGGGCATAGGCCAAAGCTTGACCAAGCATCCATGATCCAAAAATCAATGCTTCTCCGACTCTTTAAGACATTTAGTTAATAAAAAATAAGAATATAAATGGAAATATATCTCACTTGATAACATCTTGATAAGGCATTTCACGTTTTGCAACTAATGTTCCACCATACCATAAACTAAACGCATATCCCATTAATGGAACAGTTTGACCAAGTCCAAAGACGAATCCACGGAATCGCAATTTCTTTCGACAAAACTCTTCAACATTGTCAATTTCAACCATATAACGATTTAAGACGTGCGGCTCTTGTCCTAAAGAAGCTACGGTTCTTATATTTGCAATCGCTTCAACTGCCATTTTCGTTCCGTTTTCCATCGCGAGTTTCTCTTTAACGCTGCTTGACTCAACAAGACGCGCCTCCATCACAATGGAAATAAGCACAAGTGGGATGCTAATAGAAGCAACGAGAGTCATTTTCCAGTTGTAGTAAAAAGAAATTCCAATTCCGATAACAATCACTGAAGCAGCTTGGACGATTGATCCAACTCTACTACCAGTTGCACCTTGAACACTCGCACAATCGCCAGCTAATCGAGCGCACAAAGCACCAACTGCATTGCGAGCATCATCAAACCATCCCATTTCTTGCTTCATCATTGTATCAAACGACATCGTTCGTAATCTCGAGGTGAGTTTAACACCAGCAAAGTTGAACATGTAAGTTTGAATGAAAGTGCTAAGACCTGTTGTTATGCCGAGTATCAGAAATAAAATTGAATAAAAGTTCGCTCTCCTTTGGATCTCCTCAGCATCACCAAGTGACAAAATTCCATACATTTCACCAAACAACACTGCAAAAGCTGGAAAACTTGCGCCCACAATACATGAACCTAAAGTTCCTAACAGAATGTAAGGCCACTCTTTATAATTTAATTTCATCAAAGATATTGTTGAAACTTTTTTCTTGTCTTCCTCCGTCACTTCTTCTTCAATTGATTCGTCATCATCATCAGATTCAGCTTCATCTTCACTTGACAACTCACTTCTAACAGAGTCAGCTCTCTTGGCTCTTGAATTTTTCTTCGTTCGGTGTAATGAAGTTTCTTCATTTTCCATTGAAGAATTGTTGACGTTCACTAGATCAAAATACATTCCTTGCAGCTGCATTAACTCTACATGAGTCCCTTGCTCAACAACAACACCTTTGTTAATAAACACAATCTTATCGGAATTTGTAATCGTTGATAAACGATGAGACACAACAAGAGTTGTTCGACCTTTACTTGCATTTTCTAAAGCATTCTGAACACGTTTCTCTGATGTTGGGTCAAGTGCTGATGTCGCTTCATCAAGAAGAAGAATTTTCGGGTTCTTAACGAGTGCTCGAGCGATTGCTATTCTTTGCTTTTGTCCACCAGAAAGTTGACCACCACGTTCGCCTATTTTCGTGTCGTAACCTTCTGGTAGTTTCATAATAAATTGATGGCAATTTGAGATTCTCGCAGCTTTTTCAATTTCTTCATTGCTGACTTCTGGATTTCCATAACGAATATTTTCCCGAATTGTGGTTGCAAATAAAACAGGTTCCTGACCAACAACGCCAATAAAAGATCTTAGATGACTTGTGTTCCATTCGGGAATTTTTATTCCATCAATTGAAACTGAACCCTGAAGAGTTTAAATTATTTATGGATTTTAATTAACTTTTTCATTACCAAAGAATGCTTACCGAAAGGGGATTATAAAGATGTTGAATAAGCTGTAAACATGTTGATTTTCCACAACCACTTGGACCAACTAAAGCGACATTCTTCCCTGCTTCAATTTCAAGGTTTAATCCATTAAGCACTTGAACATCGTTTCTTGCAGGATATCTAAAAGCAACATTTGTGAATTTTATATTTCCTGTGACTTTCTTCGGTTTTCTGCCTTTCTCGCCAAGCGAATCAATTTCGGGAATTCGATCAATAACGCTAAATATTGAAACGGCTGAACCACAAGCTGTTGAGAATGCTTCAATATATGGCGCTGTTAATCCGAGATTTTGAGCACCAGCAAGTACACCAAACAAGACGATAACAAGGACAGCGGGCGTATATTCTTTATCAATTTTATCACGATCTTCTAAGATCAAACTGATTCCATACCAGAAAGCTAAAGCATAGCAACAGTAAATGATGAACCACATTAATCCACCACCAATTCCTGAGAATATTCCTTTTTTCTTTCCATTTTTCTCTGCTGGAATTAAAAGCTTTTCATAACGCTCGAGTTCCTTCTTTTCACCTCCAAATGCGACAACTGTTCTTATACTGCTTAAAACTTCTTCTGCAACTGACCCTGCCTTCGAATATGATTTTAGTTCTTTTTCAGTTAATGAACTTTGTACACGTGCAACGACAGCTGTTGATATGATAATAATTGGGGCACAACTTAATATCACCAGAGTTAATTTCCATCCATAGAAGAATGAAAACACAACGGAAACTATAAACGACATCAGTAAGTAGATGAAAATTGAAAGTTTCTCGCCAATTCCTTCTTTTAACTTATCCAAGTCACTATCAACAATTAAAATCAATTAAATTGTTTACATAAAATTTTAAATAAATTGCAACTTACTCAGTTATTCTTACAGCGAAACTATCATTCGTGTTTAAATCATACCAAGTCATGTCTTGACGGAGCACAGCTTGAAGAAAAAGTTTTCTTATCTTTGTGATCTGCTTTTGAGCACTTTTATTGAGAATGTCAATGCTAAGTGCGGCAAAGATCAATTGAACGATTGCTCCAGTGAACATTCCTAATCCAAACGCTTTTGAATCTTCCATTGTTGCTTCATAACTTTCTTGAAATGTTGCGTTTGTTAGAATTCTTCCACCTCCGAAAACACTTAAAATATTTGTTCGAGTTGAAGTTCCTGTGCGTATCTCACGATCAACCAAAATCGTTGTGAATTCACCATACAAAATCATGCCGTAAGGTAAACCAAGCGATCCAATACTTGCGCAAATTATTCCCAGAATCACCAAAAAGATTTCAAATCGTGTAGCAAAGCGAAAAAGCTTCCAATAGGAAACAGCAGGTAGAGAAGGCTTCTCAATCTTTTTATTCTTTGATTTCACAAATTTTCTATCAAAATGAAAATAAAAAAATTATTTTGTTAAACTCAATTTCATCTTCAAGCTCACAAAGAAACAAATTGATGAAATTTAAGTCATTTAAATTTTGAATGTGATAAGATAAATGGGAGTCGTTGGATGATATTGAAACAATTATATTGACAAAAATGATATAGCAAATTTAAAGAAGGATTAAAAATGTAACTCACGGCTCCAATGCACTCTTAGTTTTCTTCTCATTCGACTTGAATCCGTCACTTTCTCCTTCCACTTCTGTGTTCTCAAATGCCATGTTCAGAATTCCCTCTTCGTCAATTTTACGATATGTCTCTTCGAGTAGACTCATCTCGCTACTGATTTGAGACAAATAAATGAAACAATAATAAAATGAATTCAATTAATATTCATTAATTTATATGGACTCAAAGCTATCAGCTGGGATAGTTAAGATGATGATATAATGACTTGGTCGTCACACGATGAAAAGCTCAAAAAATCATATTTAAAAGCGTGACAAAACTCTGAATGTTGTCGATTCTTAATTCCGCCAATTGAAATGCGCGTTAAATGATGATGTGTGAAAATAAGCGTTTTAAATCATTTTCTTAAAGTTCCTTAAAGAAAACTAAACCAGATGGTTTCAGACAATGTGAAATTCACGTTTCAATGATAAATATGAAGCATAAACAAATAATCCCACTGAAAACCAAATAAAATCGATTAAATTTAAAATTTCTCGGTAGAAAAACTTATGAATTTACGTAGAATTTCAAGGTCGTGCTTTCGTTGGTGACGTGAAAGATTTCTGTTGTTAAAGTTATTGTAAATTAAATGAAAACACGTTTTGATAAATATGAAAAATAAATAAGTGTCATAAACGAGTGATCTAATAATTAGATTGGCATCAAACTGCGGTCAACATCGTTGGATCGTGCTTTATTTTATGTGGTTTTATTCACATAAACCACAACAGAAATGATCAAGTCAAGCTTATCGAGTGAATCTGATTGTGGAAATCTTCAAATCACCTTTGTTGGTTGATTATTAACGTGCACACGATGTTACTAATCAATTTCTAGAAACAATAAATTCGAATTTCAAATATATTAGAGCACGCGAAATTGAAATGTAAATATAAATAACTCCAATAGATATTCTTTAAAATAAATGAGTAACTTGTTAAGAATCACTTGTTCCGCCTTAATTAACAAATATTTCATTTATTTATTGTTTTATTTATTTTCCACTCAGAGTTTTCTTATGTTTTGATAATCCATGACAAGTATTTTCACGCACTTAGTATGATAAAAATAATATTTTTGATTCTTTTTATAAAGTTTCCAATATCTTATCGGAGCTGGTAAAAATAACTCTCAAAAAAAGATTAAATTTATAGTAGCTGCTCTAAGTCTTATTAAAGATTAATTAAGAAAAGCTATTAAATGAATGTCGCTGATACACAAAACCCTTGATTAAGTTTTCTTAGTATTCATTTGCATTCTTAGTTTCAGTGACTAATTGTACTAATCTTCAGTATCGAAACATCGCAAGAAGCTTTAGTAATCTTTTTTAAAACAAAATCTTTAAACAATTTCAATTGAAAGTGTCAATCATTGGACACATTAATATTATTTCTTTTAAGCTTATTCAAGAACTTTTATATCTCACATGTAATATTTATGCTATTGACAAGAATTTCTTGAACAACTACGGTTGATTTTAATTAACACATTTCCCGTAGTTTTCGATTTTAAAACCTAGGAAAATATTGAAAATCATTCAAAAGTTTTTCTTTTCATTGAATGCGGGAACATTGAATATCCAAAAAACGATTTTTCTTTACTTAGACGAATGTTTTAATTTTGTTTATTAAATAACAAGACACTTCTTTTACCTCACTGTTTAATCTTTATGATTTATGACTTTGTTTTAAACAGATTAAATATTCTTTTATTAGATTCTTTAAATTGCAGCAAAATTTACTTAATAAGATAATTTTTTATTTTCTTTGTTTTGTAGCATGATAAACTTTCAATGCGAAAATCTTAATCTAAGATTTTAAACATTTAAAGTATAAACCCCTTCTACATTAAAATGTTTGTTAAAATAAAGAAATACCTAAATTCTCTAACCTTTTATAAAAACACTGATTACAAATAAAATTATGGTGTTTATAAATATCCACCTAGTGCATTAATGCACTTCTAAATTGCACATTAATCGTTCTGAATTGCACGTTTTGCTGACTAAATATTGACTGTATAACTTCAGTTGAACAATCACACTGACTTTTAAAATCTTCTTTTTTCTACCTTGTTACCGATATGAAAAAGCTTAAAAATATGAAGGATCTGATTGATAAATGAAACACTTGTCTGAAATATTATCTTATATATAGGAAAATGTTTCTGAATTGTGAGAGTTGAGATAAAACTGAATGAGCTCTAAGTCAGGTTTGAAGAAAAGTAAAACAATAAGTCTCTCACGAAATCTTAAGAATGTAAAGTTTTATAGCTTATGACATTGCGAAGCAAGCGACAAAATGACTTGAATAGCTTTGATTCAACACCAAAAGACGCAAAACTATCCTGATCCCTTTCATGTAATACCATTTCTATTACCAGCAATTAAAAATGTTTTTAAATTTTAATAATTATGGAGAATTATTCTTTTATTCATTTTCAAGTTGTTTAAAACTTTTCTTGCATATGTTCAATAATCTTATTAAAATCGCTAAAATTTTGAATTCTCCCGCTTCAGACTAAACTTTTAAAGTTGCGCAACCCTTGTGATGAGCTTTTGTATGGGGGCACGAATGTCAGTTTTTAGACAATGCTTTGTATTAATGTTTAAACATAATGTTTAAATGAGTTCGCTAAAATCAACCTTATAAGCTCAGTGTAAAATTTGGATTTGGATTGTGCTACCTAGAAGAATGAAGAATTGTTTCTTCGCATAGTAAATTTTACGTAGCAACATATTTCATAGTTATTATGTTTCAATATTGAAGTACTGAAATAAAATGGATAATAGTAAATCGCATTTCAGAAGTCTCATTGAAAATGTTCTTTATTTTGGAGAATTCAACGAGATGCGTAAAAAGTGGAAAGCTTTTATATCCAGACTTGAAGATTTAGCACCAAATGCGTATGACAGAAGAGATAATGTTTTTTGCTACATGGTATCATCTACTAGATCAAAAAAGAGTTTTGTTAAAATGGCCCAAGGTACAAGGCCAATTCTCTCTAAAGAAATATACGACTTGATGGAAAATTTCATCGACTATATGAAAAATTTACCAGGTCAGGAAGGGGAAAATTATAAAGTGATTTATAAGGATTTCAAAGCTCCTCAACTTATAAAGCGATTGCTAATGAAACGACCACTTGTATTTTGCAATAATGATGATTACAACGTTCTACGAATAAATCAGCCGAAAATTCAATCAGGAAAGGTGAAATGGGATAAGATTGCAAAAAACCTAGATAAATATGACGAGAATTCACCTTACCTCCGTGAATACATTTCGTATGATGAAATTTTATTATCAGCACTTGTCTCAATTTCAACTCCCACATATTTTGTTTCTGACGGATCTGTGAAAAAACATGATGCGATATCTGAAAATCCCTTCTTGCCTAAAGGAATTCTTTGTGGTCTTGTTGGAGCGAGATTAAGGAAAAAGGCATACATGGAACATAGATTTGTCTTTCCACGAGATTCAGAAGATGATTCTTTTTTCAGTGTTCATCACACAGATGCTTTTTGGATTGGAAATGTTTATCCAGAAGCATTTCCTGAAGGAAGAATTCCAACGCTTGAAGAAATTGCTGAAAAAATGGAAATCTACGATGATATATATGAAGAGCAAATAAACGTCAAGTATTTGAAAAAGCGTTTGTCATTTTCGGTCATCCCTTTAATTGAGGAAGGAGTGGCTCGTGGTATTGAATATAAAAATAAAGTTGTTGTCAGTGTGCCACCAATTGGAGCGGGAGTATGGAAGGGAACAGTTCCTGAAGCAACGATTTGTAATCTCATTGTTACTGCAGTATTAGATTATCTCGATAGCACATTCGATCCCAAGAAACTTGAATATCTGTGCGCGATTTATTTACCAGTTGTTGATATGAAAATTTATTCTTGTTACTCGAACAAAAATCAAATTTCTTCAATAGAAGTTAATCGAAAAGATTCTTCAATTAAAATCAAGTTCAAAGGAGTAACAGACAAACAATTAACAATATTCAACCAATTTCGGTATGTCGCTCAATTACTTCCTGAAGAATTCAAGTCGTGTTTGATTGTTGCTGCATATGCATGGGATGGGAATTCTTATCCTGGAAACGAATATTGGATAGACTATCTGACATCATTTGATCCTCAAGCAATACTTTGTTCAAATCTCGGTCAGTTCCAGAATCCAGAAGTTAATACAAAATTAGCAGATGCACATAGAATTAAAACTTATTAGAATACTTCCTACCATTATAACTTAAGGGACTTAAAATTTTCTTTATTTTTTTGAGAAAATAAAAAAAAATTCTTGTAAATCATTCTTTGCTACACGTTCATTGATCTTAACGATGTTTGATGTTTCACTTCAATGTTTTGCATTTTGTTTAATTTCGTAATTAAATCTCAAACACCAAAAATATCGTAATTATATTCTGAGACTTGCAAAAGGGTAAAACATTTTTCTCGAAATATATTTAAATTTCAATAATTAAATAATGTTTGTATTTTTAAGCAGATTTTGAAAAATATGATAAAGAGTTTGAGATGAGCTTTAACTAAATGGAACTCTTTAAAAAGTAAAACTAGAGAAATAATCTACGAAAAAATCTGAATCTTACTCAAACAATAATGATCATATAACAGAAAGTTGTGAATTAATTTTTCGTTAAATCATTAAATAAACATCAGACGTATAAATATTACATCTGTTTTGCTTTTTTGTTCATTTTGTGATTAAATCTCGAACACCAAACATTGTAATTAATTTGTGAGCCATGCAAAAAGGTAAATTTTATTTCTTTCTAAACATATTTAAATTTCATTAATTAAATAATGATTGTGCATTTTTTTAACAGATTCTGGGAAATATGATAAAGAGTTTCATGAGCTAGAAACTAAATGGAACTCTTTTAAACGTAAACTTAAAGAAATAGCACCGGAAGCCTTTGAACGTAAGAATAATGTTTTCACCCATATGATTTCTGATGGAAGAACATCACGGGATTTTGTTAAAATGGCCCAAGGTACAAGGCCAATTTTGTCCAAAGAAATATACGATCTGATGGAAAATTTCATGGAGTATATGAAAAATTTACCAGGTCAGGAAGGGGAAAATTATAAAGTGATTTATAAGGATTTCAAAGCTCCTCAACTTATAAAGCGATTGATAATGAAACGACCACTTGTATTTATCGGTGCTAATGATTACAACGTTCTGCGTATAAATCAACCAAAGAGTCAATCAGGAAAGGTAACATGGCAAAAGATTGCAAAAAATCTCGATAAATATGATGAGGATTCACCTTACCTACGTGAATACATTTCGTATGATGAAAATTTATTGTCATCACTTGTCTCAATGTCCACTCCCACATATTTTGTTTCTGACGGATCAGGTTTTCAATCATCTGAAAACTTCATCCCTCAAGGAATTCTTTGTGGTCTTGTTGGAGCCCGTTTGGAGAAAGAAAATTTTATGGAGCACAGATTTCTTTTTCCACGAGACTCAAATAATTTAAAATTCGACAGTGGCGTTCATCAATCTGATTTATTTTGGATAATCAATGTTTATCCAGAAGCATTTCCTGAAGGAAAAATTCCAGCATTATCAGATATTTATAAAAAACAAAACATTTATGATGGAATTTATGTCAAAGGTATCAATGTCAAGTATTTGAAAAAGCGTTTGTCATTTTCGGTTATTCCTTTAATTGAGGAAGGAGTAGCTCGTGGTATTGAATATAAAAGTAAAGTTGTTGTCAGTGTGCCACCAATTGGAGCGGGAGTATGGAAGGGAGGAGCTCCTGAAGCAACGATTTGTAATCTCATTGTTACTGCAGTGTTAGATTATCTCGATTGCACATTCGAACCCAAGAAACTTGAATATCTTTGCGCGATTTATTTACCGGTTGTTGATATGAAAATTTATTCTTGTTACTCGAACAAAAATCAAATTTTTTCAATAGAAGTTAATCGAAAAGATTCTTCAATTAAAATCAATTTCAAAGGAGTAACAGACAAACAATTAACAATATTCAACCAATTTCGATATGTTGCTCAACTTCTTCCTGAAGAATTCAAGTCGTGTTTGATTGTTGCTGGATATGCGTGGGATGGAAATTCTTATCCTGGAAACGAATATTGGATAGATGGATTAGCTTCATTTGATCCTCAAGCAATACTTTGTTCAAATCTCGGTCAGTTCCAGAATCCAGAAGTTAATACAAAATTAGCAGATGCAGATAGAATTAAAACTTATTAGAAAACTTCTTGTCATCATAACTTAAGGGATTTATAAAATTTTTCAATATTTTGAGAAAATAAAAAAAAATTCTTGTAAATCATTCTTTGCTATGTACTTAGGTACATAGATCTGAACCTTGACTGAACGATGTTTGATGTTTCACTTCAATGTTTTGTATTTTGGTTCATTTTGTGGTTAAATCTCAAACACCAAGCATTGTAAATATTTTCTGAGTCATGCAAGAAGGTAAATTTTCTTTCTTTCTAAACATATTTAAATTTCAATAATTAAATAATGATTATGCATTTTTTTATCAGGTCTTGAGAAATATGATGAAGAGTTTCATGAGCTTGAAACTAAATGGAACTCTTTTAAAAGTAAACTTAAAGAAATAGCGCCGAAAGTTTTTAAACGTGAAAAGAATGTTTTCACCCATATGATTTCTGATGGAAGGACTAAACGGGATTTTGTTAAAATGGCTCAAGGTACAAGGCCATTTCTTGCAAGAGAAGTTTTTATTCTAATGGAGAGATTCATGAAATTCATGATGGAATTACCAGGAAGAGAAGGAAAAAACTATCGAGAAATTTATAAAGATATGAAGGCACCTGATCTCGTTAAGAGACTTTTGTTTAAAAGACCAATTGTTTTTTTTATGAAGGACGATCGTACCGTCATGAGATCTACACCATTTAAGCTTGAAACAGTAGCCAATATGTGGAAATTTGTTGCAGCAACATTAGAAGACAAAGGGGATAACTTTCCGTATCTTCGTGAATATTTGTCATATGATGAAATTCTTCTATCGTCACTAATTTCAATGTCAACTCCCACATATTTTGTTTCTGATGGATCATTGGGGAAACCGTTTCAAACATCTGATGATTTCATTTCCCAAGGAATTCTTTGTGGTCTTGTTGGAGCCCGTTTGGAGAAAGAAAATTTTATGGAGCACAGATTTCTTTTTCCACGAGACTCAAATAATTTAAAATTCGACAGTGGTGTTCATCAAGCTGATTTATTTTGGATATTAAACGTTTATCCAGAAGCATTTCCTGAAGGAAAAATTCCAGCATTATCAGATGTTTATAAAAAACAAAACATTTATGATGGAATTTATGTCAAAGGTATCAACGTGAAGTATTTGAAAAAGCGTTTGTCATTTTCGGTCATCCCTTTAATTGAAGAAGGAGTAGCTCGTGGTATTGAATATAAAAGTAAAGTTGTTGTCAGTGTGCCACCAATTGGAGCGGGAGTATGGAAAGGAACAGTTCCTGAAGCAACGATTTGTAATCTCATTGTTACTGCAGTATTAGATTATCTCGATAGCACATTCGATCCCAAGAAACTTGAATATCTGTGCGCGATTTATTTACCAGTTGTTGATATGAAAATTTATTCTTGTTACTCGAACAAAAATCAAATTTCTTCAATAGAAGTTAATCGAAAAGATTCTTCAATTCAAATTAATTTCAAAGGAATAGCAGACAAACAATTAACAATATTCAACCAATTTCGGTATGTTGCTCAATTACTTCCTGAAGAATTCAAGTCGTGTTTGATTGTTGCTGCATATGCATGGGATGGGAATTCTTATCCTGGAAACGAATATTGGATAGACTATCTGACATCATTTGATCCTCAAGCAATACTTTGTTCAAATCTCGGTCAGTTCCAGAATCCAGAAGTTAATACAAAATTAGCAGATGCACATAGAATTAAAACTTATTAGAATACTTCCTACCATTATAACTTAAGGGACTTAAAATTTTCTTTATTTTTTTAAGAAAATAAAAAAAAATTCTTGTAAATCATTCTTTGCTATGTACTT